GACCTCGAGCGCGACGATCCCAAGTTCGCCTTTCCAGCAGCTCGACTTGTTGGGCTCTATCGACGCCTATGGGAGTCATGCGTGTCCAAAAACATCGATGTCCAGAAGCTAGAGCAGAACGACCTTGTTTTGAAGGAAGCTGGTGCGCACCTGAGAAAAGAGAGAGATAATCTTCAGGTTCGCCACGACAAGCAGCTATCCCGGTTGCGTTTTTTTGAGCAGGCACTGAAATCATCTCGGGAACGACTGACTAGCGTACTTGATGACTGGAATCACCCTTCCAGGCTCAATCTGGCAGGGTCACCGGACAATGCAAGAGGAAGGTGAAGGACTGTCTCTCAGGGCTGACATGCCCTATTTTGTCAGCATAGAAAAACTACAGTTTACTTGGCAATATCAGAGAGAGTTACCGATTGGAAAACAGCTTCTATTCTTGAAGATTGAATATTCACAAATATTAGGACATGGAATAGCTTCCGATCTAATTTATGCTTATTGTCGAGCGTTGGCGAACAATTCCGCGTCTTCTGGACCAATCTCAGATGTAGTTGCCCGATATGTTATGTACAAAAAACCTCGGATCAAGGGATACTGTCGCGAATAGCTAAGCTAGCGGAGAAAATGTCGAGTGACTCGAGTATTGTAGGGGTTCCATGCGAGGCCAAAGGGACAGACGGAAGCTAATGCCTGTTGCGCCAAGTTGTTGCCGGGAGATCGTGTCTAGCAACTGTTCGCGTACCCGACAGAGATTCCTCAGGGCCGTTTCAACCCGGGGTAGGAAGAACAGATGCTCTCCTGTACTCTCGCCAGATTTCCGGTCAAATCGCACTAGTCGAAACTCTAACCAGTGCACTTCTATAGGGAAAGCGAACGCTGACATGTAGAAGAACATGTCGCTAGCCCGAGTAGACATGGACAGAGGATCTGGACCCATCCACTTGAAGGCCGACAGCTTGTCGTAAGTGGGGTGCAAAAAGCATTCGATCACGGAAGAACCTTGATTCTCATATCCTGAAGGCTCAACTTCATCCGAGGAAATCTGTCGAGCCTTACCGGGGTCGGTGGCGAGACAGGGGGGCGGCATCGGTATGCCAGAAGAATCTTGCCAGGTGGCGTGAATGTCGAAATCCAAATCACGGTCTACCAATTTTAGCACAAGGCAACCACTGAAACAAAGAGTACAGACCATTCTTCTTCGATTCGTGCATTCTTGTTCAAGACTCGCCGTCGAAGGCTGGTGGAATATTACAGAAGTGTAGAAAGTATAATTTGACGAGGGTTGGGAGGGGTAGAATGCCGCAGGGTAGGCAGGGAATTTATTTATTGATAACGCAAGTTTATGGCAGATTAGGAGGACTTGATATCCAGATGCTAACTTGTTGAAAACCCAAACGCTTGGTTTATTAACAGCCGTGAAACGTTGACAACCCGTCACCAAACCCAACAGAAATTCACCGGCGGTTATAAAACAGGGATGATATTTGGGATAGAACGCAGTGGATAGCAGAACTATTCAGGTGTCGTTATCGCCCGCGAGCGCTCGACAACGCCGAGGTCTCCTCAAGGCCCATCAACATGACAGGCTTGAGTATCGCTCGCTTGCAAGGATGAAACCACGCCATTACAAAGTGCTCGAACTGCTTGCTTTCGATCCCACAGTATCAATGCTTGCTCATTGCAGAGCTGTAGAAGGATGTCGCTGTCGCTTGCTAGCCACTCATTTGACTCTTGAAGCTGTCGCTGCTCTTCCTCGAGTCGTATCTTCTCGACAGGTTTGACGACGTAGCATTCCCACAGGCAAAAGTACAGGTCCAGCAGTTTGAGGGCTGGTGTAGCCAGGGCATCGTTGTAGTGAAGAAGTTTAATGAACTCCGCCGTAAGGGAACCGCGTGTGCGCACTGGAACCTATGCAGTTTTAATGATCTCGTTCGTTTGCTATCGAAGAGGGCCTGACTAACCTCAGCTTTGTTGGTTGCACCATCTGAAGAATGCTGTATGTGGCTTTGCGCCTTGTTCTCATATTCTGCGTCGTGGGAAACTCGACGCTGTCTCTTGGCCGGTCGGTCACTCGGGGAAGGTGAAGTCGGATGGTCCATCGTGGCCTTTGGAATGAAATGCAAGAGACATTGTACTCGAGGGTCTTTTATAGCCGGCAATGACACTGAGCTGCTGTCATTGCCAGCCCTGAGTTCGACCGCCTTCAAAAGAGTCAGTGAACGGTTACCTCAACGGTTACCTCAACTGTTGACGCTCGATCTCACCTGCTGTTCACCACGAGTTACTCAATTTAATGTGGAAATGGGCAACAGACGAAGCCTTGAGACAAAAACTTGTGGGAAATACCTCATGATAGTTTGCAAGTGCAATTTCGATGGATTGGATGGTATAAAACAGCCAGACTTCGTTGAAGCTGAACGTGGCATTACTGTGAATAAACCTGTTCAGCGGGGAGATACACATAATTAATTCCGAGACTGATGCCGAGAACAGCCTTCTGGTATTGCATCACGACAGGTGTGGATGTCGCTAACTGTACAAACCACCAAACTTCATCCTCGGAGACCGCCTTAACAATGTTGGACGAGAGTTGTCGGCTTCTATTCTATTCTGAATAGCCCCCTGGATGCAGTCGTCTCTTGCTAGCTCAAGCGATCTCTTCAAACTGAAGCTTTTGAGTCCGGTGTTTGCCAAAAGAGCATTAACAATCGAGGAATGACCATCCTTGACTGCCAACATCAATGGATCCTCGAAATATTCATTCCGAAGGTTGACGTCAATTTGATTATGAAGCAATAGTGTCTGGACCATCTCCAAGTCACCACGACGGGCAGCAAGGCAGAGGGCAGTGTCGTGAGATGCGATCGTGCTTTCATTGATGTTCAGACGTGTGCCTTCTTGCACTAATAGCCTGACCACACCGTGATGGCCGCGTGCAGCCGCTTGGCAGATTGGCGGATCTATGAAGCCCCTTCCATTGATCTCCACGCTCCCCTTACTCAGTAGACAAGCAACCGCGCTCACGCACCCGCGGGATGCGGCAATGGAGATTGGAGAGTGACCTGCAACACAGAGGTTCGGGTCAATCTCTGGCACCGCAAGCAGTCGTAGTAGAAGCACGGTATCCAATCTGGTCGCGGCGTGGTGTAGGGATGTAGACGGCATTTCGAATCTCCCACGGCCCCCAATAAGATTAACATCGATATCTTTCTCGGCCAACAACCTTTCGGTTATCTCATAGTAAGAGCAGTAGGTAGACAGCCAAAGCAGCGTATTTCCATCTTTGTCTGTGCAGTTCACGTTGGCCCGCGGATGCCTCAGGAGCAAATCAACAATTTCAAGGCGATTGCATTCGATGGCGAGATGGATCGGCGTGTAACCTTTCCGGTCCTGGGTGTCTAGCGCCGGGTCTTTTCGTCTAAGAAGCCGCCGGACAGCGGGTACAGAACCATGGGCGACTGCTTGATGCAGCGGTAGCGCACTATCCCGTGATGATTGACTTCCAAGTAATAAATCGGAGTCAGGGTCTTTGGAAAGAATCATTTTCATCACGGGTCTATTGAACTGGCGTGCCCAGGCCCACGGCGAGTCGCCTGAATCATCCTGTAGATCAGGGTTGCTACCTCTTGACAGCAGAAGATGTAC